CAGAAATGTTCAGAATCTGCTTTGAAGCACCAACTCATTTATCTGATCTGTGAAGAGTAGGTTTGTGAAGGAGAAACAAGAGAATGTGGTTAACACTGTTCCCAATTAATTTTCTGATATTAGAATAGCTGAAACTGAGCTGTGCTGATAGTTAAAGAAATACAAAAAGAAGAAATGGCCAGTGATACTCCAGTGCTCCAGACAATACTGTTTCTACTCTGTATTTCACACGTGAAAGGAATTTCTCATGGCTAAATGTCATACTTCAGAATAATGTGAATCTATAGAGATTTCAGTGGTTTAATACGGTAAACACTTCGCACGTATAAAAATGCTTCTTGTAGCAATTTGTCATTTCTACAAACAATAATATCTTTCAGTTTGGGTTTTTAAAAATTTTTTTAATGAAATTTTGGATGTCTTATGTAAGCGATAATAGCTGAATTACTGGTACTTGAATATATTTGGGTAATAACCATTCATGGCTCAAAAAATTGTCTTTCTCCAGTCGGCAATTAACACTGGATTAGAAAACTAACTTCCCTGAAAACAAAGCGCCTGGAGGTGGTAATCCCCTTCCTGTAATCAAACCCAAACCACTGCTTCCTCGCTTATGCTGCCCAGCTTAAAAATATTAATGTAAAGCTGACACAACAGGCCATTGGTATTGGGAAAGTGGCCAAGTGGCTGTCACTGGCTGGTTTCTACTGACATAAGAGACTTTTTTATAAAGACATTATCACTTTCCTTTTTATTGTGTTTTTGTTTTCTTTTTTTAATTGAAGCATTAGGATGAAAGCTGTGACTTGGAAATACAATCTTCTCAGAAAAGAAAAGGTTTTGTTTCCTAGGACAACTGTATTTTATTGCAGTAATAATGATATCTGACTGACAAAAGTTGTTTACTTGCAAATATTTTTGTTGCAGGAGAATTGCTTTGCTATGAGGCACTGGCTGTTAAAATACATCAACCTCCCCTTCATCGTCACCAGGGTACCCCGTAAGGCAGTATGCCCTGTGACAGTGCATCAGCAAAAGATAGTTAGACATCAAGGTTATTCTTGGAAAAAGATAAACTTTGCTTAATTCCTTCATGCCACCTAATCTGTCCAGAACAGAGATTTACCCTTACTCATAACATAATACATTATTTCATCTGAGTTTTAACGTGTTTGTCTGTGTCACATATGCCCCATCTACAGGTCACGTACTCATCATAACCCCCTCGGGAGAATTCTTGTGGCCTGCAGCTCTCAGTCCTCACCCTTCCCCATCATAGGGACCCTTTCCTATCCCAGGCCCACACACCGATCCCTCCTGGGGTGCTGCTGCTTCCACGCTGCATGGATTGAGAGATGGCTCACGGAGCAAAGCCAAAGGGGCTATGTCATTTCGTCTGCTCTTTTGTATATGAATGAAAGAAGCAGATACCTCTTTGAAGGGGCAGGGCAGTACTATAGACTTTAAAATAGCGGGGAAGAGTATTTTATCATTTCAATGAATATCTATTAAATTGCATTTAGGAATTTGCCATTTAGATTTTTAATCTGTTTCATTTCAACCTTCAGTGAATCTCGTTAAAATGCTTGATTTGAAGAGCCATATATAGGAAATGTATGTTCCCAAATTAATTCCTATACAGTGATCAAGTCACCCATAACCTTCTCTTTGATGGCCAAAGTTAGAGGAAAGCTTAAATTCTGGGTTACAATCTGTGGGGCTATAAAGGAGAGTTTATAGGGGTTTTGTGATGTGAAGCTTTCCTTAAGTCCTGTCCAGAGCTTCGGTCCTCTGGTTGGTGAAGAAGTAAGTAAGCGCGTACGGGTGCATTTCCCTTTCCCCACTTAGCAGGGAAGAAGGTTTCTGTCTGTTTTCTGTTTGTGAAACCTTCTGAAGACTTTGGAGAAGTGAAACATGGGGAAGAGGGACTGTTGCACAAAGACAGATGAGCTGTAAGGGATATTGGTGACCAGACTTTGAGAGGCAGTGACCTAAACACAAGACTTCCTGAGCATTTATCACTACAACTTCTTACTAGAAATGAGAAAAAAAAGACATCCTGTAAAGGCCAGTGGGTGCCATCTGTATTATACTAGTAGCAACACTCGTGTCAAAGAGGGACCAAATCTGTGGAATGTATCGTGAATCCAATAGGTCTGGGGTTTTTTGCATCCCATCCTGATGTCTTCTCAAAGTCAGTGAATGCTTTCCCTCCAATGATGCTTTGCAGAATTGCTCAGAAGCAGTGTTGCGTCTCCACCGTAAAGGAAAACAGCTGCCTGGCTGGCATGATTGCCGCCAAGGAAGGAGATGTGTGTGGACTGGAGGAAAGCGATCCCTGTGCAGGATCGTCATATAAGGTAAGTTGCTCTGATGCCTCTATAAGTTTTGTTCCAAATATGAGGTGTCCTTATTTCCTGCATTTAGCAGTAATTTATTCATACATTATTATGGAGCAGAATTAATTATAAAGTTGCAGGAATGTGGCAGGGAAATTACGCTGTTTGCTTTTAGGTTTCAATTGCCTGGTATTGCAGCCCCTTTTAAAACTTCACAGTAATGTTGTTTTGAATTATTTCCATCTCCATTTCAAAGATTTAACTTGCTGTTATTACTCTTGCTTCCTCGCTTTGGAAGTAGCTGAAAGGACCATTTTAGTTTTTATATCTATGGTGTAGAAGAATTTAGAAAATGATAGGGCAAAACTTAATCGAAGATACAATGTGATACCCATTCCTGAACAGTTTGGTTGGCTACAGTGTTGAATTGCAGCCTCATTTCTCTGTTAAACAAAACAATGGACTAGAGGAACAAGCATTTTAATGATGATGGCAGCTTTTGTTCATAAATAAAGGCAGACCATTTATGAATGGTTCAAATCACAAATCACGAACCACAGCCTCAGCTTGTATAAATGAGATTTGCTTTATGAGAATCAGTGGAGCCAAACCAATTTAAACCAGTTTGAAGATTCAGCATCTTGCTTGCTCACTTGCCTTGTTTTTACCAGAAGGGTGCATTTCAGAATTCATTTCACTCTGATAATAATTTACATAGCTATATCTAAGCTTAAGTGCAGCTTCCGTTGTCTCAGCAGGGAACTGATTAGTTCTGTCTGTTCTTATACCTCGGTGATTCTTGCAGATAATTATTCACTGGAAAAGCAAAATACATGGATGTCTACTGCAGAGTTTAAAGTTTAATTAGCTATGCCAATTTGTCATTTTCAGAACTATTATTTACTTGGGTTTGGAGTCTACCATTAGAATAAAAAAAGAATTTGTGCACTTGGGAGCAGACATTAATATTTCTGAAGTGTGACAGAGTTATTATTTTAGGTTTCCACCATGGGTCTTTTGCATGCCAGACAGAGCACAAGCTGTAGAGTAAGTCTTATCACACATGCCATTCCTCAGGAGGAGGTGGAGAGGGAAAACTTCATCGTTCCTGTCTGAACTGAAACAAGTTGCACAGTACTTGTGGAACAGCTGCTTGTTCCAGTGTAATGCTTTCCTTCAAGAGAAACCATCTGAAATGGTAAAATTATCGCAGGAGCAGCTTTGCCCTCTTCTTTAGCTCCTAAGTTATGCAGCTACTGCTTGAAAAAAATAATAAAAATATTCATATTGAGACTGTTGGGACTTTAAGAAAGGCTTTCTAATTATACTACAGTTAAATGTTCTTTCAGACGTGACCTTGCAGAAAATACTGATGGTGAAGGGCAGTGTTTCCCCTGAACTGCTCTGCTGTTAGTGACTGCTGTGTCTGGGTGTCATAAAGAAGTTTGTCTGGAATGTGGAAGGATGAATCTGTTGCCCCAAAGACTCTGCAGGATGTTTATGCTGTCCTGCCAAAAGCTAGGGGGTTTACTTCCAGGTAACAAACATGTCTTCAGGCATTTTAGATGCGGGGTCCTTAACTTTTGCTTCGAGATGAATGCGGCAGTGCCAGTTCTTTAGATCCAGGTATTCAGCTTGTCTTCAATACAACTTAATCTTAGGCTGATTTTACCTGTTATTTACTGTAAGACAAAAAGCACGTGCTTAGGGGCTTTTTGCTAGTGGATGGAGAAGCCATTGTGGTAAATCCAATTATGCTGCATTCCAGGGAAGATATTTTGAGAGGAAAATAGAAAGCTGTGAATAAAACAGTGGTTCTCAAGGCATGTTTCTCAATGTCAATGTAAAAATAGTCATATTTGTTATTAAATCAGTTGTAGAATTCCAGTGAAGTTCAAAAGATAGCTAATAGAAGATCAAGACGCTCAAGTTTTTACATTTTAGAAGGAACTTTGTGACAAACAAGTTTTGCCACTGGAAAATGAGACATCTGTATTCATCTGGAAAATATGTGAGCCCAAAAGTGTGTGACTGATTTAATCCTCTCTGTGATGCCTGCGCATGGGATAAATTGTGAATCAAAACGATGACTGAGAAAGCCATATTATTCAAGGCAAATATTCCAATATTTTACAGCACTTTAGTAAAAACATGTATTATCCTTAACTTCTTTTATTTTGCATATTGAAGCTGAAAAAATTGTACCAAAACTAAAAATACTTACAGCAAGTAGAGTTTTCCCTTTGATAAAATGTTGAACTTGAAGATTCTGGATTTGGGGAGGATGAAAACAGAGAATTTTTCTCTTTTCTAGCATGACCACAATCAATTATAGTTAGACTTTTCATTTTTAATACTTCTTTTGAAAAGATGATATAGCCCCTTTAAGTATCAAAAATCATTCAGCATCTTCAGGACCGGTACTGTAAACTTTTCACAAGCATGTGTTTGGGCACATAAAGTCAATTCTTTATGGTTGTGCCTATTTGCAAATGTGAATAACATCTACTATTTATGATGTTTGGGGACTTCTCAGATTAGAAAGCGGGGACATAAAACACGAGCTGTAGTCGTAGGTACTGGGCTGAAGATGCAAGGGGTGCATATGGCATGTGAAATGTCCAAGAAACCCTACAGTGTTTGAATCTTGAAAAAGGTGGCTCGGCAGAAGAGTTTCTTGCAGATGGAGCTGTTAGTGGAAAATTTTCCTGTCTCCCTAGTGGAGACAGACTCTGGTTTAACGTGAATGCCAGTCTAGGATTGCTAATCATGAAATGTGAGTCCTTTCCGTTTCCATACTGCCTCCAACCCTTACAACGCTGCTGCCCTTATTCACTCTCCTCAGGTCAGAGATCTCTCTCCTGGGAAGTGGGAGCTTAGTTAAGTTTTCTGATGTTCTGTCCTTGGACTTTCTGTTGACATAGGTAACTGGTGCCAGTTTGAATAGACCTTCGTTTTATGTGTCTGATGCCTTTTCATAGACTGCATATTTGTGTAGACTGAAATAACTTCTCTTGGTTCAGAGTTGCTCTTGCAGTGTAGCTGCAAACTATAAATGAGTGCTGCTGGGCTGGATGGCTTGCCTATCAAAGGAGTTGCAGAGGGAAGGAGACTGCATTTTATAACCATTCTGTCAGTGAGAGCACCTAAATATATGTAAATATATATATATATATATAAAAATAAAAGGGATGTCAGGACACTTGCATTTACATCCAGACAGGCATCTTTAATTCACATATGGCCCCTGTATGTGTCTGTAGCAGACTTACAACTCCTCAGCTTTCTTGTGCCTATGCGGTGTGGACTTTTTGAATTTGGTATAATTTATCTGATGTATTTTTGTGGCCTGACTGTTCAGTAGATTTGTATGTGACCAAGTGAAGCACGACACAGTTCTTATCTGCCACCTGCAGCAGAGGAGACTGCAAGAGAGACTACATTTCAGGGATGCCCCATTGCGTCAACCTGTCAGTAAAGCCACTGTTAGATGCAGTCAGGAAAGAAAAGGCACGCAAATAGCTAATAAAATATACCCTGGCCTTTCTCTAGCCACTCTCAGTGGGATGCTGCCCAGGACAGTCAGGTAATTAAGGGGCACAGTGGGTTTGCAAGACTGTGGTGCATAGAGGAAAGAGTCTTTACTGACACACTGACAGAGATCAGATGCTGCTGCTGATCCTCACATCCACGCAAGATATTTACAATTCCTTTCACGTTGCTTCAACAGCAAACCATGTGTTGAGATCTAATGCACAGAGATCTAGATCTGTATTATTTTGTTTATAATATACTATATACAAAGCAATGGCTGTGTGCAAGAGCTGGGAAGAAGTGATCTGCGGCACCATGACTTCCTTGCATGCAAAGTTGCTGAAATCGTCATCACAGCAAGAGTTTGTGTTTCGCCTGGTTGTAGTTGACCCATTTGTGCAGGGATGCCTAAACCAAGCACAAGTAAAGCTTTGATGTTTACAACTGTCTAAACTCTAAGTGCTTTTCCAGATGCTCCACTGTCAGAGAAAGTGCAGATCAGTTCCAGGTGCATGTGCAGACTCATCCCTGAAATGGGCTGTATTAAATCCTTGTTGCTGATAGTCTCCTCCTTTTGCAGCAATGCTGCGATTGCTGTAATCTGGGCCTGCGATTAAGGAGTGAGGGGAAAACCTGTGAGTCCAACATAAATCTGGGCTACCCCTGCAGTCATGTGATGCTGTCCTGTTGTGAAGGGGGCGATCACTTTATCCATCCAGAAATAAAAAGGCATCCTGAACCTTTGCCAACAGTGACACCTGAGAAGGGTAAGTGTCCATGTATGATTTGAAAACATTGCAGATGAGGTTTTCGCCTCACACGGTCATATGGGGAGGTGCTGGAAGGATTAATGCTACAGGAGCACGGTTGCCTTCCCTCTCAGATCAGATGTAGACCCTCTTGTTCTTAAAACAGTTTTGAAAAAGTAAAAAAAAAAAAAGTAGGTGTTTCTGATCCTCAAAACATACCTTCTTTTGTAGTTTGCAGTTTTAAGCTTTCTCCCGAGTCACATAGTACAGAGACCTGCCACTAGCTGTTGGTAAGAAGCAAAGGTGAAGCTGGTCTTGTCTTTTAGCAGAAGCTCTGTGTAAAGCAAATTATGAGTTTTTCCAGACAAAGTAGGCCCATGGGTTATGATACCAGTGAAACGTCCTGGGAATAGATTTCCTATTGTACATGCCTGAGTTGCATGGTTACCTCCTGCATATGATAGGGTTCAATTTTTGTCCATTTTCATCTCATGAACTAAACATGTATTTTCTCTCGTCAACAAATGTAAGGGTTTATTTCGACCTAGATGAGACCTTATTGGGCAAGGAAGTTTGCATATATGTGTTTAAGAAAAGCTGACTGTGAAACTCGCAGAATAATTAATTTTAGTATTGCAGAAAGTCTTGTCAGACTTGGTCAGGAAATTAAGAGGATCGAGCCTTTGCCAGTGTTTAAAAGCAGTAGGTAAGATAGCCACGTTACTATTAAGTGGCTCCCATAAAGTTTGTAATGCTAGCTAGAGAAGTAGCCAATAAATTAATAGCGGTGTTGAAATGAGTTTGCAAACCAACTGGATAACTTTTTCTCCTGAAATTAGAAATCTCGTGTGGTTCTTCAGTGGGGCCAGTTCCAGCTGGGGCTTCAATGTGGTACCTTAGTTCAAATAACAATAGCGGCGATGTTAGTAGTCAGAGTGAAAGGCGAGCGTGTGACCTCCCAGGGTCACCTTTTTTTGTCAGCAGCTCCTGTAAAACGTCTGTCCCACCAGCCCTGCGGAAGGAGGTAGTGGACCTTATTTTCAGGATGGGTTCGTTTTCTCTTGTCCTTAGAATAACTGGTCTGGGTACCTTTGACTGTATCTGGAGTTTGTGTGAGCAAAAGCTCCATACTGTACAGTCCTAATGCCAAAACACCTTCTGGAGAACCCACAAGTGGTGTTCTGTTGTAGTTTCAGAGATGGAAGATCACAATGAAGCTTTGTCCATCAGCAACGAAGCTGAACTGTCAAATAACCTGCCTGGAGATGACTTGGATGAATGCCTTCTCTATGGTGGGGAACTTTGTCAGCATTTGTGTGTAAACACTGTGGGGTCCTACAAGTGTTCGTGTTTTCCAGAATTCACTTTGCAAGATGATGGAACCAGCTGCTCTCCAGGTGAGAAAACGGGCAGGAAACACCATGAATGATGGTGTCTGTGCCACCAGCATTGATCTACGAAGCTTTTCTTTAGTTTCTCTGTAGTTTCTGTGAGGTTTTTTACGGGTACTGATGCATGGACTTTTTCTGTGGAAATTGGACAGGTTAATAATGTAAAGAAAAGCAACCATTTAGGGAACTTAATTATGCCTCAGTTTTGTCTGTTGATAGTGTGAGATCAGGGTGGTTTTTAAATTATTCAAATCAAGGCTGTTTTCACTTTTCAGAAGATGATTTGTAAAGATTGTTACTGAAATACCTTTTCTTAGAGTAATTTTGTATTTCAGTGTCAGCTTTCCTTTAGATAAACTGCTCAGTTCAGACAGATAGTGTTGCTTCCTGAACTTTGATTTTTATCTAGAATCATTAACATCTTTCAGTGATACAAAATCTAAATCCATCTAGTGTGGTGGAAGTCTTGAAAAGAAAGTCTGTTGTGTTGTAATTGTTTTGGTGTCTGGAGTTCTCCAATGGCAAGATTTCAAATCAGATAACCCAAATAAGCTGAAACCTTACATTAGTTACAAGTGCTTTCAGTTATTTAACAAGCAAAACAAGTGTTGCCATCCAATGACAGAATTCCTTAGACTTTCTGCCCAAGCCAAACAATGAGCATTCATTATGTCATTCTTCTCAACGTGATGTTACAGCGCTTACATCAGTGATGTGTTTGACTGTTTCTGTGGCAGCCACCTGCTCTGTTGTTTATATTTAAGATTCTGGGGAAGGAGCCTAATTCAAAAGAGGGAGAGAAAAAGGTTCTTATTTTAGCACTGCAAAATTTGGCTTGATTGTTCACCTGGAGCTTATGTGTGGTTTTGCTTTGCTTTGCTTAGCTTCTCCCATTACTAACTCCGTTGAAGTGCAGGTTTGCGTTAACACATCTTGGATCTGGGTAGTCAGTATTCTTGGCAGATCTGCAAGACTGCAGTGCTTATGGCTGTGCCAAGAGGTGCAGAGGGATTTGCAGAACTCAGTTGAGGCAGGGGACTGTGCAAGAGGCATTGGAGACATGCAGGGAGAGTGAGGTGAGGAAGGGCTGCTGCTGTTGTCATGGAATCCTGGGTCAAATGAAAGGCTGGGTGAGGGACACAGCAGGGCAGGACACCCCACTTGCTACGTGTGGCTAAACAGCCTGTGCTCTACCTGGCCTTTTATTTCTCATTTTTCCTCTGTGTGTGCACATCTCTCTCATGTGGCCTGTGGATGGAGACCCACACCAGACACCTTTCAGTCTCATACTGTTGGTAACATTTACTCCCATGATTAGCTTTACTGCTTTTGTATTTGTACCTGCCCCAGTACATTTCCTGCTCTTTGCTGGACTGTGAATGTTTTTGTATTGCACTTTTGGTTTTTAAAACGTGTCACACTTTTTCATGAGGCTTGGAAGAAGTGATGTCCTTGCAGTGGCTCTGTGAGGCAAGGAGAAAGCATACATTGATGAAACTTCAACAGCTTCTTCTCACTTCTCTGCTCTCTTTCTGGGGAAATCATTCAGGCTATGCCACAAGCAGGCATCTTGTATTTCTCTCTGTGTTGTAGCCTGTTGTATGTCTGTGATTTCTTTTTTTTTTTTTTTTTTTTTTTTTTTTTTTAAATGAAATCGCTCTTCCCATACCCCAAACCTGTATTGCAGTCACACTTCGTCATTTAATGCTGTCATTGTTTGGTTGCTCGCACTTTGCTCCAGGTGATGCTTGAACTTAAATCAATAGGAATAGGACACACCCCTCTTAAGGAAGGATATAGCCATATGGATTTAGGCTTCCGTTTTGATGGTATTGATAAAGTGGATTACTCTTATTGATGTAACAGAGACTTTTTTTTTTTTTTAGCTATTCTGATACCTTTAATGTTACTGTTTGTTGACAGTCCCAATGACAGATAGAAGCTGTCATATTTTCCACTTGGCTCTGTAAAAGTCGGTCATGTCCTGGGCTTGTAAAGGTGTCTGCTTTTCATCTGTGTTGAAATAGGGTGTACAAGGGCTTGTTTTGGGTTCTGCTTTTTTTTCATCATACACCAAATGAAAGGCAGCCACTGTCTTTACAACATAGCAGCATTTAATAAAAATAGAATTAACACCTTGTTTGATTCTTCAATTATTGCAGTATTTTACTCTACAGAAGTTGTTTTCAGCCAAGCTCCCCGATCTGTACCCATGACGTTCGTGAGCATCTCCATTAGCAGGCAGCACTCTGTGTCTGCGTGCTGTTGGACAGTTGTTCATCTCAAACAGATGGCAGCTTCCAAAACTGACTGTTCACCTCCTTACATAGACAGTTGCCCAGGTCACCAAAATGTTTCCTCCTACAAACCAGGATGGAGCAGGATGAATGGGACCAGGACCCTTGCTGTGGGGTGCCTGGTGGAGGTGATGCTGTCCCTGATCCATCTCTGCCTCCCTTGCCTTACAGATCCCGACAGAGGACAGGTGACAAGGCTGGAAGCAGAAGCCACCATCCCTCCAGCAGCCTCTCCTTCTCAGCCTCTTCTCATCATGTCCTTACAAGAAGAGCAGGATAAGTGTAAAGGTATGTTGGAGGTGTAAACTGCAGATGCAGACAAGTGACGAATGTTTAGAGAGCCTGAATAAAATTCCACACGTCCCTTCACCAGTGCACATCCTTAATTTGTTACCTCTGGCATAAAGCTGAGGAATTGTCAGGGGAAACCTGAGGAGGTAATTTGAGGCTATACTCTGATTTCAGGGTTATTACACACCTGCTGCTTAGTTTAAGGTAAGCAATGCAGCTGTGCAGCATAATGGTAACAGTACAGGTAGGTGTGACACAGGTGTCTTTCCCTGTAATAGGGGGGTTGTAGGTGGTGATTAGGGCTGTCTGGACAGATTGTTTACAAACTGCATTCCCTATTGCTTAAACTGGGATTAGATTTGAATGACCTGGAGGTTTGTAACTTCACCTGATCTGTGCTGTGAATGCTAATGTATTTTGCAATTTTGCTTTGTATAGATAATGGCCCCTGCAAGCACATCTGCAATATCGCAGAGGGAAATGTTGTATGCTCTTGTTTGTCTGGATATACTATCATGGCTGATGGGATTTCTTGTGAAGGTAAGTGGTTTGGGTTCACCACAGAGACATGGCTAAAACACTTCTGTATAGATCTCATTAATCTCATACCCCTAGGTGGTTCTCTAAGGGTTCCTTATTTTCAGTGTTGTGAATTGCAAGTGGCAGTACAGAGACCATTTGCCAGAAGGACCACCAGATCTGCTTCACAGATAACTCCTGAAGCACGTCTATCCAGCGTGCCTGTTACCTGGGGACTTCAGGTGAAGGCAAGCCTGCATTTGTGCTCTTTTCCTCTGACATCCCAGGCTCTTTTTCAGCCCTCTTGGTTTCTCTTCCCACTACTGATCCTCTCCAAGGTTTGTCTACTCAGCTATTGACACACAGCTTTTCTTCCTGAGAGTGGGAGCAGCTAGCAGCATGTGAGCATATTTGCTGTCCCGAGGAGCCCCTTCAAAACCACAGCTCTGCCTGGTCACCTCTTTTATTTGGTTTTATTTCTCCTTGCCTTGAAAACCTGAATTCAGTGAGCCTCGAGTTGCACCGGGGGAGGTTTAGATTGGACATTAGGAAAAATTTCTTCCCTGAAAGGGTTGTCAAGCACTGGAAGGGGCTGCCCAGGGAACGGGTGGAGTCCCCACCCCTGGAGGTATTTAAAAGCCAGGCAGACGAGGTGCTTAGGGCCATGGATTAGTGGTGGGATGGCAGAGTTAGGGTAACAGTTGGCCTTGATGATCTTAAAGGCCTTTTCCAACCTCAATGATTCTATGATTCTGTGATTCACTGCTAGGAAGAATGTGCTGTTGTGAGCTGCTACAGCTCCATGTGTTTCACTTGACACTGAAGCTCAGGCCTGCGCAACGATGAACAGTGAATTCCAACGCTGCATCATGATCGTTCACATTTATATAAATTTTAAATGGACATGTTTGGGTAGTGACAAAGGATGTGTTTGCCTAGGAAAGATTTGGGGGTCGGAAGCAATGCCCTGTGACATATCTTAATTATAAATCTGTAAGTACGGAAGCAATAAGAGCCAGCAGTGAAATGCAAGTAGAAGCTTCTGATGCTCAGAATTGCTCACAAGCGATCCACATCCCTCTTAATCTCAGATCTTATTGAATAACAAATCATTTTCATGAAATTCCAGATAGTGTGTGAAGAAAATGGCAATTTAATATCACCAGATAAAATATTCACTGTGCATGGCTTACTCAAGTGCGGTGGAAAATAACTTGATTAATTAACATCAGAATCAAAAGGGGCATTTCAAGGCAATCATTTTCCTACAAGAGGGGAAAATATTCAGAAATGTCAGTGGAAGTAGTGAGTTTAAATTGTAGCAAGGGACATTTATGATCTACATTAAAGTAGGTATTTGATTGTAAGGGTGGTGACGCACTGGAACAGGTTTCCCGCAAAGAGCGTGGGTTGCGTCTGTGTGGCTGCCTGTTTTTCCAAATGGCTCTTTCTGGAACGACAAAAGCGTAGGGGTGCAAGCAAGGACTAGATGATCTCCAAGGGTTTATTCCAGCCCTGCTTTCAGAGTAACACTATATATTACAGCAGGGTGCTGATGTAGTAGCTCCAACACACTTCATTTAGAGATCTCCACCATGGAAGAAGTGTTGCTTTATTTCAGAAACTGTTTGAGTAGAATTCTGTTTTTCCCTTTGGGTTGTGACATGTTGATACAGCTTTGGATGAGTGCCTCACAGGTGCTCACACTTGTTCCAGAGGACGATTATGTGTGAACACATTGGGATCATTCTACTGTGTCAGCCACAGAGTGATCTGTGCAGGGGGCTTTATACTCAACAGGCACAGAAAATGTGTTGGTAAGATGATAGGTATAAACCGTTCACCACAGCATCATAATTCTTCGTGCTCTGCAATGCATTTAAACCATTTGTGCTAAAAGGTGCTCTGGCCATCTTTGCATATGACATGTCAGTATGAGTTAGTAAAAACATATGTGCGCCATTTGCTCAGCCACTTAGCATCATGAGCTGTATGCGATTTGGCTTTTTCCCTAGCAATACATTCTCAGGACATATATAACTTTGCTCAAAAAGTTCATAGAAGTTCATACATAAAAGTTCATAGGTTTGATGACCACAGTAGTATTGATGGCTATTAAACTGGACTAAGAAAACATGGCAGTTGATCTCTCTGGACAGTGTCAGGACTGCCAAATCCCCAGACACCCTGAAACAACAAAACTTCATAAATACAGCTCAAGAAATCTGCATACGTCCAGGCAGTGGAAAAGATCGATTCCAAAGTAATGGAATTTTAAAATTCAGATTAGTCCTTTGTCAATTCTGGCACAAATTTCTTTGTGTAAAAGTTGAAGATTGCTTCATAATTCTGCAGTGTCATCCTTGCTATTTAAGTTCATATAAGAAACCAATCTATTTTTACAAGTGTATTTATGAGGATTTAATTTGCTTCAAAAAGCCGAGGCCTGAGCTTACAAAATAGTTTCTATTTGGGGTGCTTTTCTCGAGGCTGGGTTAGGAGGCACATGAGCTGCAGCAGTAATATCCTGGAAAAACGGAGCACCCAGAGACCTCTGGTCAAGTAATGGAAGCAGCAGTGCCTGTGGCTACCATGTCATGTGTGAATGCCTTTGTCTCCCGCCCCTGTCTTTCTCCCTGCAGTTATAACTTGTTTCTCTGACCATCACATCTTTGGTTTTTTTCCTGTCTTTTAAAGCTCTGTGATGGCATCTTATTGATGAGCATCATATGGCATGAGGGCATGAGCAGGAAAGCATATACAGTGTCATAGTTTAGAGCAGAAACATGATTTACTATCTTTGGGTTTCCCTTAAATTTTCAAAGTTGGATTTTTTTTTTTTATATTAGTATTATTTATTTTGAAATCAGAGATACTGGTCAGCATGGAAGACTAATGAAATTATTTAGTTTAAATGGCTGAGACCACACCACCGGAAGGAAGGATGCCTTTACAGAGAAACCAGCAGATTGCAAGATGGAAGATGGTTATTTGCCATTGGCCGCAGCCTGCATGGTGTGTTCCATGGCTTTCACAGAGCCTGCTGCATCTACCGCCCTTCTGAATAGAAGGTCTGGTAAGTGAGCAGCTGAAGGAACTGCCTCACCTTGCTTTCGGCTTTTGAAAATCTGGCCATTTAGTCCCCAGATGTTTTTGCTGTACTATGCAGTAGGAATATATCTGTCCTTTTCTACAGCTCCCAGGAGTGTTTTGAGACAAAATTAATGCATGTTTGTCAGCAACTTTGGCAGAAGGTGCTGCGGAAGATGCCAAGTGCATCCTTTTATGCACTTTCTTCCTCTCCTGTCCTCTACCCCATGACATTATAACAGACTTTTATTGTGCCTGATATAAGATAAACCTCAGGCATCGCTAATAAGATGAAAGATAGGACTCTCTTTTGTAAAGCTAAAAGATCCTCTTCTCCCTCACTAAATAACAAACCTCTGTATTTCTCTAATGCAAGTCAGTTTTTTACAAATATCCTTGTAAATAATCTAGAAGACTTTGAAGTTTCTCTTTCTTTTGGGATAGGTGTAGTCTGCGTTCTCCCTACTCATGTACAGCTCTGCGCTGTGTGTGGTGCCTGGAGAACATTTGCCCTATTTAACATTTTTCCTACTGTTCTAGTCAAAGGGGAAAGCCACAAGCATACTGTGGTTTCTGTTTTGTTCAACTGCCTCTTTGCAGCCGTATTCACCTAAGGTATCCGTTCCCAGCTTAACTGCTTTTGTGCTCCATCTCGAGCTACCTCAGACACCATGAGGAAGGCTTTGATAATTTGTTTGCAAATTAGTGTTGTTTTAATGATGTTAATCTTTGCATATTTTAGGGATGAGAGGAACAATCCTTGCACAGCAACAAAACAGCTGATAACCTCTTATCTGGTGAATTTCCTTTAGTCAAACTGTGGAAGTTTGTAATTCCAGGTGCATTCAGGAGCAGGTCTCCAGAATTCCTGAAAGCCAACCGTGCACAATGAAGAGTCACCAGCTGTTTAAATAGCTTGCACACACCAGCTTTGTGTAACTTTGTGAATAGATATTAAAGTGTCGTTAGGCTTGAAAACTCCATGTTCTCCAGAGATAAGAGCCAGGTTGGACATTTTTCATGTGGATTGCTTTTCCTGGTGACTTTCAGGCAAAGTCATTACCACCACCCACATGCACACTGGTGGAAGACTACTTTGCTACTTTCTTTCCTACTCCCATCTAAATTTTCCCTCCTGCCAGAGTGAGCAGCGAGTGCTCATTTTATTGCTGAACCATAGGGACTATGTGTGAGCACAGGATGGGTGGTTGCAAAATAACAGGTCTACATTCAACAGATGTCTTGCATAAAACAAATTGAGCTGAAGTAGTTGGAAGAGAAGAAAAAATCACGAGAAACTACAGATGCAGGACAAAAGTCTGCATTTCACATTTTTATGAAATGTGCCTAAAAATTAATTTTTAATGTTGAAGTATGTATTGAAATAAATAGCACTAGGCATATGTTGATATTCCTTTGCAAAACTGTCAGCTTCTTAGATGCAACAGGGATGCTCAGGGATCAGGCATACGTTGCTGTTTTCAACAGCAATTCCAGGGGACAAAAAGAGAGATTACCCAATTACATACTGACATAAAGTGAGGAATGTTGTTGCCTCACACATAGACCTGGTAGATTTATAAAAAATTAACTGTGACTTGTATTACTGAACTGTTTTTCCTCCTATTCCTGTTTTTTTTATAAATATAATCATGCCCTACCTCATAGCCTTAATTGTGTTGGATGAAGACTACAGCTGGCCCATTGTTGGGAATTAACTTTGTTTCAAACTGAAAAGATAACCCATATTTTTCCTAGTGCTCTGTCAAGCATCTTACTGACTTGTTGAGTTGGCTTCCATTACTGAAGAGAGACGGGCTATGGGCACTCTGGATTTTATGGATAACCAACAGGGAAGAATAAAGGAGAGATTGTCCTGTTTTATAAAAATGGATTCAGTCCTCACTTCCCACTACTTTGTGCTGTAATGGTAGAGCAAAATGGTACTAGGTACAGAGCTAGCACAGGAGCTTGTGTGCTGCCCCAGTGCAAATGGGGACCATGTTCCCAAAGATGCCTCTTCCCACCCTCACACTTATGCTAAGAGACACTGGTTTGCAGCAGGCATTGATGGTGAGAGCAGCGACACGGCCAGGTGGGAACTCCTGAGAAAGACGCAAGTCTTCTGAGATCCCATTTTGTGGGATTCCATTTAGGAATTAGAAAAATGAACAAAAAAAGAGTATGTCTGTTTAATAAAGTGAAAAGGGAACTTTGGTGGGCTGGCAGGCGGCCTGGTACCAGAGATGGAGAGTCATGCCCTGACGTTGGATAGGACAGAGCAGAGCTTTGCATACTGCATGGCATGTAGTTCAAGCCTTACATCTCAGCCTGGGTCACAATCATTAGGCTTTGGAGATCGTCAATGTATCACTTGTGCACAAAACTTTCATTGAAAGCAAAAATTCTGCATGTAATCATCCAGTTTCTGTAATTTTAATTTCCTCAGATGCGTTCTGGTTAGTTCTATGTATTTTCTCAAGTATGCAGAAATTTGAAAATTGAATCAAAAAATATAGACAAAGCATGAAATTATATCAGATAATTTTTGCTCTGTGAAATCTTAACCTGCTCTTTGCATCTGCTAGTCAGGTGGAATTCTTCCAACCTCATTTGGGTAGTATTTCAGACAAACATGCTTTCTTCCTAGTGACTCTTCTGACATTGTGCTGAGCTGACTTAAGTTCACATGATGCAGCGTGGTGCTGACAGTTTGTTTATATGAGAAGGCTTTTTGTGGTCTGCAAGAGAAGATAATCTCAGATCCGTTGTATAGCCAGTAGAAAGTCTTGCACTGGTTTGGACACTGTTAAGTGGCTATCTGTAGCCATTTTTCTCTAAGGAAAAAAAAAAAAGTCTCAAATATTTTAAGAACCAGGTCAAGTGGGAGAGGTCTACCACAGCAGCTCACATTCTTCTCAGCATGTGAGGGTTTGGGGTTTTTTTTTGGTTTTGGGGGTTTTTTACCCCCAAGACCACTTACGAGAATATTTCTGCTTACCCTTCATTCTTATGTGTAGAAACTGGGAAACTGTGCAAGCATTAGGAGGACGTAACCCTGTAAAATCTTCAGGGTGGGCAAGTGCCTGCCACTTGGTGGAAGTACTCAAACATCGCATGGGCCAGGCCAGAAAGGTATCCAGCTGACGGCAGTGGCCTTGCTGTGGATTAATCAGCTGGCTTTGGAAAGCAAGTACGCAGCATGTGAAGGATGGTAATGGCAAACAAAAAGCAAACACAAATAAATGAGAAGTGAAACAGCACCAAGTGGACATACTGGTCTTGCAAAACTCAGTGCACATCATTTGGTAGGAAACAAGCTGGCACGTTTTCCAAGGCAAAAAGCTTTTATAATGGCTTTTCCTGTTTTCCTGCTCCACCAGGGGAAGTAATATATCTGATGTTGTACTTACCCGAGAATGGGGTTCTACAGCCAAAATGAAACTCTGATTTAAACAATGCTTGCTTTGTTCTGTAGCGTGGAAACAGCTTCATGTGCAGAGAAACCCGATGATTGAGAATGGTTATGGTGCCATTTGGCTTTTGTTAGTTCTAGAAATAATTCTTAGCTTTATATAGAACTGTGAACATGTAAGATTTTGTGGAGAATGGCAAGAAAGTTTCCCATCCAAGTCTCTACCCCTTGTTGTTGATGCCAAGTATTTGCTCATCATGCTATTCCTAGCATTCATTATAAAAATAAGCAAAACCTGAATTTGAGATTATTTCACCCGAGCCTGTCAATGCGTGTCATTTTAAAGGTGTGGCATGTTCCTTTCCAAATTCCCTTTCCTGTCCTATGTTACGCGATCTTGTATGCAAGTGATTTTTTTTTTAAAAAAAACTTTTCTACGACTCCACCTGCTGAAATCAGACCTCTTTAAAGATTTAAATACAAATTTACAAACTCTATTGAGCCTCAGGATTCTTCTCTCGGTATATCCTTGTGTATCCAGTTCTGACAATGCATTCCTTAGGAAATAAGCACGTTGCAGGACTCCACCTTCATCGAGGCAGGTAGTTTCAGTACCAGTCTTGCAGCAGTTCCACACCTGCAGCTCCTGTCTGCCTGGCATGAAGGAGCAGGACTGATACACAGCCTGAGCTATGGAAACCTAGTAATGAGCCTTAATCACTTTCTCATTCAGTTGTCCAGGAGGTTTCTCTTCAGTACACCAGAAGCTGATTAAATGCAGGGTGGGTAGAGGATTGATAATCAGTTCTGTCCATCCGTTGTCCTCAACGCCTGCACCATCTGCTGCACGTTTTGGAAGAGGGGAGGAGAAGGAAATCTCCCTGTGATTTGTGTCTCCTGAATTACTCTGTGTTAACAAAAGATCCTGGAATAAAAAAATCTTTCAATCTTTTCTTTTGGAAACAATGGTTTCACTTGAGCTTTTGACTTCTTCCAAAAGAGCAGGAAGAGGCAGATCACTTGATACATATGAGGCACTGAATTGTTCTATCTATTTCTTGTAGACATTAACGAGTGTGTAACAGATACTCACACCTGCCAGCAGAGAGAGTACTGTGTCAACACGATGGGATCATTCAAATGTCTCCAGGAATCGAGCTGTCAGCCGGGTTATGAACTCAGGGATGGAGAATGCGTTGGTAAGACAAGTGTCATTCAGCTGATGCAATTGCTGTTACTGGAAAGGAAAGGAATTGCAAAGCATTTTATTGTTGCTGGTCTGTGATATCAGGGTTGTATGTAAAAAAGGCTGATCATCATGGAAAAGTTTGGCTTCATAGGTAGGACCCTTCTGTACATTCACTTACTTGAAATAGTTTCTAGCGATAACTTAAATTATTTGGAAAATGGGTGAAACCTTATGAATTGGGATTTACCCTGGTTTTAAGGCATTCGAGAGGGAGGGATCACTGATGGAGGAATTCCTATTAGGCTCCTCTGCCTGGCTCTGCTTTTCTCTGAAGGGGCTGATACTGTTTGCTGTTGAACACTGAATCACAGCCTGAATGGATCATGGGGCTGGCTCGGTCCAGTCCTTCCTGTGTTTAGGAGGTGTGCCTGCATTTATTTACATGTGGAATGGTCACGGGGTTAAGAAGCGATTCTTCATCTCCCTCTCCATGGTCTCTCTAGAGGTCTGATGGAGAAGCAGTTGCAACACAGCAGAAGTTGCTCTGCAGCCCAGGAGTGTGCAAGAGACAGGGGCCCTGCCTTCCAGGGCAAAAATCAGTGTTATTTAAATTTTTTTCACAAAGTTTCCTGACAGCTGGAGTAAGAGATGCCTAAGGAAAGAACTTCGCTCTTGACACATAACATAAAGATATAAAATAGAAGTGATCAGAAATCTCCCTTTACGTAGAGCTGTCATAATAAACTTTGGTTTATTGAGGCTGTTCATGACTGTCCTGTCCTGTTGTCTGATTCAATATCTAACATTTATTACGAATCTAAATTGCTGACTAGTTTTAAAGTTAGATTATAAAACTTACAAATTGTTTTAAAGTAGCCTTTAAATTAATGAGTTACAGGAAAGTCTAAAACTTCAAAACAAGTCTGTGTGAAATTGCCTACAGATAACTATTGAATTTTGAGAGGTTTATGAAATACTCAATTCCATGTTTTTCTTTGTTTCAGCCTATAAATATGGTAAGAGGACTTTATTAATATAGTACCTTCTGGGAGACTGGTGATGACCTTGACATTTAACTGAGGTGTCAGAATCAAAAGAGAAGGGCCAGCCGTTCTCCCCTTGTCTGCCTGGAGGAGTAGGGCTCCGCAATTGTGGAGTTTCCTCCATTTGTCTTTATCTTCTAGTAAAGATGTTCAGCATAGGGAGTGTTCTCAGAAACTGGCATATGTTAAAGCAGCATTTGAAAATATTCATGGGAACTAGGTTTTGAACATATTTATAGCTGAAGTCTGCTCCTAGGTGGGGTTTCTTCAAATGGAAAATGGAAGCAGTGCCACTGTACTAGCTGATCCTTGCAGTCACTCCACACAGATCAGTTGGTGTACATTTATAAGTTTGAAACTTGCAGGAAGTGTTTTCAGTGTGCCTAGAAAGCAAGCATTAAGTTGGTGAACATAATTTGAGAAATAATTTCATATACGTAATAAAAAATGAGAAAGCTGTGTTGAGCTCTGACTGCACAGTAAGAAAAAAAAGCAAAATTTGTTACTAATATTACTACGTCTCATTCAGGGTTTTTTTCAGAATAATTTTCAGAGTTGGGTAAGTGTTTGCTCTCTGTACATAGGTACACATATATATATATATACACACACACACACACACACGTGCCTGTGTAGACAGTGAAATCCCAGCCCTGTTCAAATGAGGTTCCCTAATAGTACCAAATTCAGCAGAGGTAGGGTTCTGCCTGGAATTCCTGAGGTATGTAAGGTATATAAGAGACCATTTTGCTTTTGAAAGAGCGTGGTACATGTTTTATTATGTGTACCTTATTCCTACTTTCAATTTGGGTCTTTAGAATTTTAAAACTGCAGATGTTTCAGTATTTGTGGTTTGCAAGAGATGCTGTGAACAAAGTAGTAGGGACCTGAAGCAGATTTGATGCAGGACCTGGCAAATTCTGAAGCCTATGCTGAAGTGGATGTCCAAGAGCACACATGCCTAAACCTCAGATTTCCCAAAGGCAATGTTGGGTGTCTGCTTTAAATAATGCTTCCTAACTTCCTTTCTTAGAAGTTAACTAGTCATGAAGACTACTGAAAATTACAGCTTAACTAGCCACAACTTGGTGTTTTGATCTGGTTAACAGATATTGATGAATGTGAGAGAGGAACTCATAGTTGTAAGGTAAACTTCATTTGTCAGAATACTGAAGGATCATTCTACTGTGAGTCAAAGCAGCGCTGCATGGATGGATTTTTACAAGACCCCGAGGGAAACTGTGTTGGTAAGCATGACGAGCAATATGTTTGTAATGTGCAGCAGCACTGGCCAACTCCTGTTCCTTTTAGCCTGTCCAAGGGGTGTATATTGACCACATGTAGTTTTCCTTAGTTCCTGCTGTGAATTTAATTTAAGCACTGCTGTCCTTTTGAAGATATCCATACTTGCATATTGAATTTGAAAGTGTTACCATAGCAGACCTTTGTCAGCCTTATCTTTGTAGCACAATAAATTGAAATGAAGGAAGACAAGTGACAGGTGGAAGAAAACAGACCAGAAAGGTTAAGAAGCTTCTATCACTATTCTAATTCATTTTCTTCACCAGATATTAATGAATGCACATCTCTCCCTGAGCCATGTAAACCAGGATTCAACTGCATCAATACTGTTGGGTCTTACACTTGCCAAAGGAACATGCTGACATGCAGCAGAGGCTACCACTCCAATGAGGAGGGAACCCGATGCATTGGTAAGGTCGGACTCCAGCGCCTGGTCAGGTCCCCTGTCAGAGGAAAAAGTACATTTCAGCTCTAAAAAAGAGGGTTTGAGTTACCTGCAGATTCCTGAATGGAATGGGAATTTGCTGTATGCCTTTGCTGTCCAAGCAGCCCAGTGATTTGTTTGCACTACAGGATGCTGCACTGATGCCTGGCTGCTGCATGGAGTTCCTCCTGGTACACCGTGTGGCATTGTTTATGACTGTGTATAGGTTTGACTGGCTTTTGTTCTGGAGTGAATGGGATTTAGTTACTTTTTAAACTCATGCTGTCAGTCAAAACCATGATCCTTGCTGTTTTTTACAGTATCTCACTGTAAATGATCTGATCTGAAGCCATGGGGTGCAGCAAATGAGAAACACAAGTTTGTGGACTCATGAGAGTAGTGCTAAGTGGATGTTCTTTGTAGTGCTCTGAGTGGTGTTCCCCATTTACATCCAATTGTGTGTATGGTTAGGATAAATTCTTACTTTCTTTGTGAAAAGAATGTTGAAATATTCGTATCGGCTAGCATGCAGCTTGAGACTGATTGGTATTTGCTGCAATGTGTTTTAGGGAGTTACTGACTCAGAATAGCAGATTTCATCTCTTATTAGCATTTGTTCTGTAAATGAGCACGCTAGCCACAAAGGAATGGAAAGCTTGGTCTTGGTGCCCAAGGCAAGGCTGGCTATGTGTTCTTTGATTCCCTATGTTCTGTGTTACACAAAGTAGGAAATCGTAATGACAAATCAGCATTTTGGTTAGTGATGATACCCTAATGATTTCTACTTACATACCCCATGAATAAAAGGAAGGATGAAAAAACAAACAAAATATGCTTTGTGGTGTTACAGGTGGGTGGAAGCCCTGTTGGCGGCTATTAATTTGGTCATGACCAGCAACCTGTAGTGAAAAGCAGTGGTATAGATAGACCCCACTTCCGCATAAATTTCTGTATTCTCCTTTTTGCTCTTCTTTATGCTCTATCTCCCTTCATGATTTTACCCACAGGACTATCCAGACCATGCTTGGCCAATGAGAAGGTGGGGAGGATTGGGGAGGAGCACAAGATGGTGACAGTTTATGTGTATAACTGAGGAAATTGAGAAAGCTTTCTAATACAGCTCTAGGGGGTTGTGTTTCATAAATTCAGGGCAAAGTAGTGCAGTCTTATTTGCTGTCCTATTACGTAGCAGCCCAAAATACTTCAGTTGTTACAAAGGGAAGGTCCAAAAGTGCTGTCTCAGTTGTTGTAAAGACACAGTTCTGCAGCTGCTTTCGATCAGTCCTGTTTCAGCAAAGGCAACTGGGCTAGGTATGTTTGCGCTGCCTGAAGTGTGGTGACCCAGAAATTATTTTTAGGGCTACTGCCATGCCAACGCTTCCACGAATGCCATGTTTTTGGCACATCAGCAGTGATCACTGAGCAGCTCAGAAGTCCTGGCTATAGTGCTAACAGCCTTTGTTTTCAAGCCCTGCTAATGGCTAGGGCAGATTATGTCCCTAAATTTCAAGCTGATGATTTAGAGGAATAATCCATCTTTTTTTCCCCGGTTGTTCCTAAAAGAGAGTGACTCTCTGTAAATATGTGACAGGGGAGGAAATTGCCATTATTCATAGAACATTTATGTCTTTCAAGTGTGATGAGATAACACAATGCATTGTAATTACTGATGATACTTTGTCTCTACATGATTGACGATGCTTTTAAGGAGCAGGTGTAAGGGAGCTTCTCTAGTTTGATTTGGGGAAAACAAATGTTTAATGTTAATCGGTGATTTCTCTGTCTCTGCTGTGTGCACTCTGTCTTTGTTTGCAGTCTGTGTCTTTTGGTATTTTTTTGGTATGGCCTTCTGTAAGTAGGCAGAGAGCATGGAGAAGAAAAAAGAAAAGCATATGGTCCTAATTTCCCCTCTCTAGGATAAAGCCTGGTTTCTTTAAGGCATTACAATAGCTAATTAGATTCCTGATTCAGATTTATTCACAGTAGTAAATACATCATATGTGCATATTTCTCCAGCAGAACTACACTTGTATGGTCATCCTCTCTGTTCACAGGATTCATCTCTGTTTAAAATGTTCATATTTTAACCCCAGCGAGCAGCTAAGCCCCCCCCCCAGCCGCTCGCTCACTCCCCCCAGTGGGATGGGGGAGAGAATCAGAAGGGTAAAAGTGAGAAAACTTCTGGGTTGAGATAAGAACAGTTTAATAGGGAAAGCAAAAGCCATGTGCCCGCAAGCAAAGCAAAGCAAGGGATTCACTCCCTGCTTCCCATGGGCGGGCGGGCGGGCACTCAGCCATCCCCAGGACAGCCGGGCTCCATCACGTGTAACGGTGACTTGGGCAGACAAATGTCATCACTCCCAACATCCCCCCCTTCCTCCTCCCAGCTCTATGTGCTCAGCATTACATCATACGGTGTGGGATACCCCTGGGGTCAGTTGGGGTCAGCTGTCCCAGCTGTGTCCCCTCCCAGCTCCTTGTGCCCCCCCAGCCGCTCGCTGGTGGGGTGGGATGAGGAGCAGAAAAGGCCTTGGCTCTGTGTGAGCCTGGCTCAGCAGGAGTGAACACATCCCAGGGTTATCAGCCCTGCTGCCAGCACAAATCCCAAACACAGCCCCATACCAGCTGCTATGGAGAAAACCAACTCTACCCCAGCCCAAACCAGCACATTTTCTGATTTAGTAAATGAGTTATTAAAAGCTACCTCGTACACTTAACTGAGAACTACTGTAACTACTGTGAAATACAGCACACTTCTGAAGGTATAATGCCCTGGAACTAACTAAAGTTTAAACTCAATGGGATATATAATTTTGGACAAACTAATTAAATGGCTCCACACATGAATTCATTACAAATAAAACTGCTACTTTATAAATTTGTATCTGCATTAGAAACTCCCTTGTTTCGATGCTACCTCTGATCTTGAAAGAAAGCGAGGAGACGGTGTTTCAGCAGCAATCTATGAGCCTGTCAGGAATTCCCTGCTTGGCGAGTGACATTCCCTGCCATCCCTAACCCCAGTGCCAGTAGGGACTGCGTAGGTGGGAATCTGTGCTGAAAAATTGAACAAAGTATTTGTTAGCACCTCTCAATCAGGGTTGATATCATCTCCGCTTTTCCAAATTCAAGTTTCTATGGTAAGTAACTTGCTCTTGCTTCCCTATCATTTTCTCAGCAAGTGGCTGCTTTATGGAGCACTCTCCAAGGCCGCTGTTTGATGGAGAACTGCCCAGGAACCCTTAGAAATGAAATAGTGCGCAAATTTATGACTTCAAACAAGGCAGCATGAAGAACCTCCAGCCTTAGACTGCCATCCTAATTAATACTACATGTGTTCATGGGCTTTGGGTTGTAAAAGTAGTTGAAGATGTGAATAATAGGAAGGAAGCAGGATCTGATGGCTTAGGAAACGGCAGAAAGAATACTTGATGAAATACAAGTTTCTGAGGGTTAATCAGACTTTTTCATGCTCCTCATCACAGATGGTAACAGGGATTTGTTAGATACTGATGAGCTATTTAGTCATGTTGCAAGTCTTGTAAATCAGCGTGTATCGAAAACTCTCGTCTTCATCTGAGGATTTTTAAAATGAGATTGGAAGTGATGCATGTGAGTGGAGAAGCAACTAATTTGTTGGTGTTGGATTTTGGATGAGAGGCCATGAGGAATATCAAAATGTGAGCTGATTGAGAAAAGAAAAAAGATCAACATCAGGAAAGAGCAAAAGGTAGACAGCAGAAGAAAGATTGAAAGGGCAACTGGAGATGAAAACAGCAATTGCTTTAATTGAACGGATGAGCAGAATTTCTGGCTAGTTCTTGTTTTGCTTTAAATGGCTTGCCGTGACTCACGTAATGGCAGAACATCATAATAGGGTGTTTAAATGTCATGGTTTGATCAGAGTCAAAATGTGTTTACATCAAAATGCAGAATATGCTGATTGCAGTTACAGTTACCATTTTCACTTTTAAGGTAATGTATAGCTTTTCAAAAGTTTTGACTTAGAGATACGTAAAGCTGACTCTGAGAAGAACACAGTGGGAAATGCTGATATTTTTTGTTCTGTCTAGGGGACAACCCTAACAGGTTCTATTCCTGTTATTTAATTGAATTTTTTTTTTCTCTTTGTAAACATTGATTTTCAGCAAACGCTATTTAAAGTAATTGCTTTCTCTGGTTCTGCAGATGTGGATGAATGTCAAACTGGCGTACATCGTTGCAGCGAAGGGCAGATTTGTCATAATCTTCCTGGGGCTTATCGCTGTGACTGCAAGATGGGATATCAGTACGATGCGTTCAGCAGAAGCTGCATTGGTATGTAAGGTGCAAGATGAGATGAAACGACTGACTGATTGAGCCTTGGACCTCAAGGGAGTATTTAGCACCATTGTAGTGTGCAGTTATTAGTTCTGCAATGCAGTGCCTCAAAAGATAATGGCATCACCTCCAAAGCAGTCGTCGTTCAGTGCGACCGGCCATTCAGAGCTCTGTCACTCTGTGCTGTGATTTCAGAACGGGTGCCCTTGGTTTGGTTTAGCTGCTGGTTATCAATTAAAGTCATCTGCAAAGCACTTTCCTACAGGTTACACTTCTGCTGCTGTAGAAATTTATCTTTCTGAAGATCTCACAACTTTCTTCATAGGAGGCTGTGATACAGCATTCTGTATTTTATCACTACTGTACAGCAATTAGAGCGCAAAGTCAGACAGCATAAGACCTGAGGTTGCAGCATTTCATGCAGCAAATCAGTCTCTGATGCCTTCTAAAATATCCCCCTGCATCTTGTTTGATGCTTTTGGCTCTAAGTTGATTGTATATTTGCTTGTTATGCTGGCAGATATAAATGAGTGCTGGAATTACCCTGGACGCCTGTGTCAGCACACCTGTGAGAACACCCCTGGGTCCTACCATTGCACTTGTTCTTCTGGTTTCCGCTTGTCTTATGATGGGAAGCATTGTGAAGGTACCAGACATTTTTTCCATAAAGAAGAAATTGCAGTGTGAATTGACTTTAGAGAATGAGTTGAGGTGAAATATAAATAAACCCATGATTTATGGGTGCTCAGATTTGCAGATACTCAATCAAAAACTCAAGCTGTCAGATGAGAGCCGACAAGTTTCTCCCCTTTCTTCCTTTCCCTCACATACTTTTTCCTTTCCTTCCAGATGAGAGAAAAGGAGAGCATAGCAAAGTCAGAATAAGAGACTTTTCATTCAAATTTTACTAAAGATGAAACCTGGTAGTGACAAAACTTGAAAAAAAAAGGCTTTTAATTGAATGGAAATTTTTTAAGTTCTCTGATTTTTTTTTTTTTTTTAAGGCAATGATTACCTTTTTTTAATCAACCGTAATGTGTAAGGTCTGAAACATATGTTTGCATGTGTATGTGTTTTCACTGGCATATACAGAAATGACATACAGGTGCAACAGATGTACACACACTTCTTGGCATTCTGCCTAGGGAGCAGAAACACATCCTTGGGACAAATTAGTCCATCCTTATTAACCCTGACCAGAAGGGTCTGGTAGCTGTTCTCAAAGGCAAGAAATGGTGGGAGATACTGTTCTGAACCATTGTGGCAATGTCTGTGGGCTTGTTTTTGGATACAGATGTGAACGAATGCGATACTAGTCCCTGCAGCCAAGAGTGTGCCAATGTTTATGGTTCCTATCAGTGTTACTGCAGGCAAGGCTTCCAGCTAGCAGAAGATGGACATTCTTGTAAAGGTAAGCCTGCTGCTTTGTCAGGTCAAGTTAAATATGTGTGTGTATTCTTTAACAGTCAGGGCTGTCTAACTCTCAGCAGCACCTAATGCTGCAGGTGATGCCTGAGGACGACTGTGAGTTACACGCTGCTGCAGAAGCTGCAAAAGGTAACTCCAGCTATTGGAAAATGTAGTAATTTTCATGTCTCCTGCCAGGGGCCAGAATACACTTGCATGACCAGAGAACCGGTGAGGTTATTTTTTCATGGGGCTAGAGCTTATGATTGAAAAAAATCAGAAGGGAAGGTATGTTTAACCATATTGCATCAATTAAAACCTCCACTCAGCCACGATTGAGCGAAGGCTTGCTCTTACTTCTGCTTGTGGTGGGTGAATGAGGAGTAGTGATCAGAACGGAGAAAGGAAGGGTTTGACCTGTTTTCTTGAAGTTACCGATACTGTCACACTGGAGAGTCTCTCTTTAAGAAATGGTGAAGAAACTCATGTTCTTCCTGGCATGAGGAAGCCCCCAAAACAATCCTAGAAGAATTACAGGGCTACTGGAGAGAGTTTTTCACACTCAGATGTGCCCTAGACTTGTTCTTTTCCATGAGCCCATATGACTTCCAACCAGTGGTTTTGGGAGCAGTCTTGTGTTCAGCATTTGAGAAACACCATCAAAAGTCCTGGAGCAATGTCAAAATTTTGTGGTTGCATTCTTGATTAGAATATGTTATAAGTGCCTCAGATAAGAATGTGCTTGAGTTCTACGCCCTCCCTTCTCAGATTTCTTCTTGTCATGTGTTTGTAATTGTGGTTTGTTTTTTTTTTTCCCAGATATCGATGAGTGCACACAGAGTGCAGGCATTCTCTGTACTTTCCGCTGCGTGAATGTTCCTGGTAGTTATCAGTGTGCTTGTCCTGAGCAGGGATATACCATGGCAGCAAATGGAAGAACCTGTCGAGGTAATGAGGAGTTTAGGAACCAAAAGGATTATATCATGAAGCTTTAATCCTTGGAATGATCTAAGCCATTATGGTTATTCAGTCTCCATGTTTTATATTAATTGCTGTTAAAAAGCTGGTATTTGACAAAGTTGCAAAATACTGGTATCTGCAATGTCAGCTTTTTCCTGTGTTAGAAGAACGTACTGCGGCAACTCAGCTGTCAATGTGAGCTAATTGTTTAAATTAATTCCTAAGGGAGCCCACTTCATCATTCCTATCAGGGTACTTGATGACTCGCATGAGCTGTCTGTGCACCTTGGCACAGCAGTGAGTGATCTGGTTTTTCGGAGGTGTCAGATGTGGAAATCCGTGGCTTCATTATGAGTTGCGGTTTCCTGCCCCAGAAAACTGGGAGAATGAATGTAAGAGCTGTAATGGGGACTTGGACATCCAGAAGCCCGCCAACTATGCTTAATTATGTTGGCGTTAGTAAAAACCAGTGTGAGTGACAGGTATCCTCCCCACCCCCTTTTCTCCAGAACCATAGAAACGTCTGCTGACTGGTGGTTTTCATCTGGTGTGCAGCTTTCTGGTTGTGAAGTAGAAGTCCCCCATTTCCAAAGGATGCACTGACTGTAATGATGATTGAAGATCTGATTACCTTTAGGTACTCTACATGCATTCTTGCAGTGGGTTACGCTGCCTACCAGGCATTTCCTGCTCAGAGCTTTTCAGGAACCCTTCGCTTAACTTTTGGTTATGTATCTCCTATGCTTAAATTCTCTTCTTAGTGGTAATGGCAGTGAACGTACACTGTGTAAATCATGAACAGCAATGTGCATACTTGATTCTCCTGACTTTGAAGCAGAGAAACAGACTAAATGATAATTTAAATATTTTTAAAAGATTTTTTTAAAATTCGTTTTTAAGTACCAATACAGTTACATCTATGTGCATTTAAATTCTCACATAAATCACCTTTAGAAGCTGCAGCTATAACTCTCCTCAAGCTTTGTTTGGTTTGGTTGTGGGATTTTTCCTGCTAACTTTGAGTGCTGCACGATAGTTGCCACCTCTGCCAGCAGTGAGACTTGAGCTGGGGACATAGTCCAGAGTTAATAGCATGAGTCACTGCGTTAATCAGCCAGCACAGCTCTCCTGAGCCGGAGGCACCCAGCATGCTCCAGGAGCTGGAGGTGGAGGAAAAAGTTTTGCCGCAGAGACCTATGGATCGCCCTTGCATTGTTTGTGCAGTGTGAAATCCTCCCTGCATGCTCACCCTGCCTGGAGAGGGTTCCTGTTGTATAGGCCAGCCCTGCGAAGTGAACTATTCAGCAACGCTTGGAAAAGCTTTTCAAAGTGCCTGTGCCACCTGGCACGTGCACCCTCCTTAGGGGGTTGAAGTCAGCCTGCTTGCAAAACTTACCACGTGTGCGGGCGCCCTGTGCGTGGCTGGGTAAGCTGGCATTTAGCCAGGCGCTGGAAGTAACCCTTGGGTATGTGCCCCTTTCTTCGAGCTCTGCAAGTGTGGAGTTACAAGTTTGGGCAGGCTTATGTATTGAGGTGTCTCTGAAAACATGGTCAGAGAAACAGTCTGAACTGATGGTGGTTGGACTAAACTCAAGATTAGGTTTGTTTCCGCCAGCTGAAGATCTGGCTCCAGTTACTCATCATCTGCACAGTTCTTAAAAGTTGCTGGTGGTACATTCTGTGTACCATTTTTTTCAGACAGATGAGTTGTACCTCATGTAATATCATCTCAACATACGGATCTTTTTGGAGAAACTGCCTATGGTATTTTGCAGCACAGCCAAACTGGTGAAGCAAGTGCTTTCATGATAATGATTGCAATGTGGAAGAAATTTTCTTTTCACCTAGGGGCACTTCTGAGAATCAGCAAGGGATTTAATTTACTTTCATTCTCTCCTACTTCCTATTGTATACTTTTCTTTGCAAGACTTTTAAACCAGTCAGTTCAGTGTGTGAGATCAGTTCTCATCCCAGGGGAATGGAGAGAGTGGGAGGAGGTTATAGTTTTCCTCTAAGAGTCTCTCTCCTCTGCAACAATTGGCAGAACAGCAGAGCCCTACACAGTCCACGTGGTTTGTCTGTTAGCATTTATTTCATTTTAAAGCCTCCGTGCGTTGTCTAGACATTTGGGAGTACACAATGTGACTGTGAGGTCTTTGCCAATATTTTCTGCTCAAGCTGGATCCTTGTTACTGCATCTGGTTTTCAGCATTTTAAGGTCCATGGCTTGGGCTTGTGCATATGTATTATTTAGGTAACCACATTTATGCTCTAGGCCATAAAGTCTCTCTGAGCTCTAAATGTTCTTTTGTCTTCTGCAACATTATTTCTCATTATGGGGAGATACTTATATTCAACTTAAGTATTCAAGAATGTGTGTTGTCTTCTAAAGTGTTGTTCTTAAGTTCCCGTATTTCATAATAGTTAGTCTGGTGAAGCTTACATCTCCTGGATCATGCAGCCGTACAGCAGTGGATGCTTTGCTTCATGTTTGCCCCCTGCTTTAATCCAGACAAACTTTTGTGCATAGATAAATTCTTCTCCTGGCATAGCCCAGCTTTCCCAGTTCTCAAAAAGTCAGTGAGAAAGTCCTGTTGACTTTTGACATGGCTTGGTTATGTTCTGGGGGGATTTGTTTATTCCTGAGGGACAGCTTTTGTCACAGTAGGCTTTGAATGGGTAATGTGTCGGCAGGCATAGGATGTCCCCATTTATGCCCCTGCCCTGGGCACTGGTGAGGCCGCCCCTCGAATGCTGGGTTCAGTGTTGGGCCCCTCACTCCCAGAGGGACATGGAGGGGCTGGAGCGTGTCCAGAGAAGGGCAATGGAGCTGGGGAGGGGTCTGGAGCCCAAGGCTGCTGGGGAGCGGCTGGGGGAGCTTGGGAGTGTTCAGCCTAGAGAAGAGGAGGCTGAGGGGAGCCCTTATTGCTCCCTACAACTGCCTGACAGGAGGGGGGAGCCAGGGGGGTCAGTCTCTGCTCCCAGGGAACAGGCGATGGGATGAGGGGAAACAGCCTCAAGTGGTGCCAGGGCAGGTTTAGGTTGGACACTGGGGAAAAATTCCTTCCCCAAAAGGGCTGTCAAGCACTGGAAGGGGCTGCCCAGGGAAGGGGTGGAGTCCCCATCCCTGGAGGGATTTAAAAGCCGGGCAGACGAGGTGCTTAGGGTCAGGGTTTAGTGGTGGGATGGCAGGGTTAGGGGAATGGTTGGGCTTGGCAATCTTAAAGGGCTTTTGCAACCCAAATGATTCTATGATTCTGTGATCCCTCTATCCATTATGCATGTTTGCCCTGGGGAGGGGAAGGTCTTCCTGCAGACTGGGTAATGGGGGAATGTTTGCTTGCCTGGGATACATGGACATTTTACAGACTTCCCCATGAAGGAGCCATTGCGATCATACAAACGTTACCCGGTGTATGAGGTATTTATAGCAGTGGCCACCTTTCACCAAGGACTGTCCCTTGTACTCCAGTGCTTGCGCACAGTGCCCACACCACGCACAGGTCCGTGCACATGCTCTGCTCTTTCAAACCAGTTAGGTGCTTCTCCTAGCTATTGCGCTTGTCACATGTGCACTGCACTCATGTGCTGAACAACTAGTTTAGAAACACCGCACGTGACACAGGCTAGCTCTAAGGATGAAACTGTTGTTCAGGGAGTATCAGTGACCTGTGAAGCTGTAAGAATTGGCCTATTGCTTTCAGGAAACTATTGAAAAACTATCTTCAGTCAGACCAGCTGTGGAAGCTTACACAGTGGCTGCAGGGATGGACAAGTTGGCTGGTCTGAGAAGTTTAGGGTTCCCCTGCCCTAGACTGCCACTACCTGATTATTGAATTCTGTTCCCTTTCAGCCTAGTTTATAACATTAATCACAACACATCTCTGACACCTCAGGAGCAAGGGAGAATATGACAACACTGTCTGGTTGTTCATGTTTGTTTTGAACCTTCAATGTTTTGTTTCATTGCAGTGGGAAGTGGTGAGACAGGAGGATCTTGGGGTTTGACAACTTTTTTTTCCTTCTCGTGTTTATTCTCCACTAGAAGTTAGGCCCTGTGTTGCATCAGATGCATTTGGAATGAGAATAGCAAGGATCACAGGAGTGTGCAAATGTATAGAAAGAAACAAAACTTCCCCTCCGGTTAGAAGGCCAGCCCTGGCCATGCGCTGGGTGGCTGCAACTGGCCACAGTCCCTGCCAAGCAGGGGAAGGACTATCAAACAGCATGAAAAGGACCATAAGCTGCTTGTAGGGAGGAGTGAGCTCCCTTATTTATTGCACACACTGCTGAGTGCTACTGTCATCTCTTATTAAATGATAATGTCAAGGAAGGAAATATTTTTCTGCAGAAGACATGAATTTTAGCAGAATTGGAATCAATGTGACTTACCCTGTTGCTCCAGATGCCAGTGAGCATCTGTGCACAGGGATGGCCCTGACACACCTCACCTGAATGTGCATTTCACGCCCCATTTCACGCTCGTGGTCCTGGTCTGCAGGCAGCAGGCACAGGTACTGAAGAGGTAACACAGCAACTGGGCGGTGAAGACAAGAGCCCTCAGCTTGCAGAGCCAAGCCCACAGACTCCTCTTGCTTCTCATGCACGCAGAGTCTCATAAGCATATTACAGCCCATAAATGGTGATTAGTTCTTATTTTTGAACTTAACGTGTCTTTTTCCTTGTGTTTCTTCTTGTTAGATATCGATGAGTGTGCAATAGGAACCCATAACTGCTCAGCTGCAGAGACTTGCTATAACATCCAGGGCAGCTTCCGCTGCTTGTCCTTTGAGTGCCCTTCCAACTACAGAAAAGTATCTGACATGTGAGTATCGCCATTGCAACAAAGCCAGCAGTCTGGGTTGTGGGTGGATGTGGATGTTACGTGGTGCTTAAGTTTGTGGGGCTTTCCCCATATAGAGTTTCTGCCTCTTCCTTCTGAGCTCTATAGCCCCATTTGCCCTCCAGCTGCTGCTGTAACGGCAGTCAGAGCTTGCAGCATTGCTTGCTGCAGCTCTAAAGGCCTCTGTTTATAATTAAGACTTAAAAAAATAAGATCTTCTATGCTGCTTATATCATTGCAGTAGCTGCCAGGCTGCTCAGGGCACCACTTTTACAGTGGTTTTGGGGCTCCCTGTTTAATAGCCAGATCGCAGTTCCTCAGAGCGTGTTGAAACATTGAAGGGGAGCAGGATAACGAGCTTGCCAGGCTGTAGGGTTCTGGGACTGGCACACCCCCACAGCTCACAGCTCCTCAGCAGCTGAGGCGCGGGAGCCCCAAAATCTCCTGACCCATGTCCTGCCTCCATGGCTGCCAGTGCTTTGGGAAGCCCTATTTAGTTGCTTATGACTTCAGACGTACTTTTCCTGCCTTACAGAATCGAGCAGCTTTGCCAGGTGAGGAGCTTGTTTCCCATTCCCACATTTTAGCTACCTTAAGTGTTTTTGTTCTTATTTTCTTGGAGCACTGTCCCACGCTTGTGCTGTCAGTGATGAATCACAGGCTCCTCTTCCAAGCCCTGTGCTGCTTGCAGCATGCCTGGCTCTTTCCTCGTTGTGGAGCTTCCCAACACAGCTCCCCATGTCCATCATCTTTTACTTACACTGTTGTACTCTGACAATTGTATCATTTACAAATGCTTTTGGGGCACTGAAAGTGGAAAAAGCAGCTGGTAATTGCACAGCTGAAGTCCCAAGGCTTTGAAATACATATATTTTTACCTGCTATTACATGGACACTGAATGTGCTTCATTTCTCATCTCTTAGGAGGTGTGAACGAATCAGTTGTTTTAATTACCTGGACTGCCAAAATACCCCGGTGCGCATTACTTATTACCAGCTGAACTTCCAAACCAACATCGTGGTCCCAGCTCATATTTTCCGTATTGGACCATCGCCTGCCTATGCTGGAGACAACATAATCCTTACGATCAACAAGGGAAATGAAGAAAACTACTTCAGCACTCGAAGGCTGAACTCGTACACAGGCATTGTCTATCTTCAGCGGCAAGTGAAAGAGCCTAAAGACTTTTTGTTAGATGTTGAAATGAAACTGTGGCGTCAGGGAACATACACTACTTTCCTTGCCAAAATCTACATTTTCATCACAGCTCATGCCTACTGAAGCATGTATTGACATTGGATTTTATTGGTGCTATGCTCTTTAACTGTTCTACCAAAGCTTAATTCTGTTGAACTGGCATTTAATGTATCTAGCCTTTATATTATTTTTCTATCATTGCTTTAAACTTTTTTATTGGTTGTGTAAATTAAGTTAATTTTTATCTTTTTTTGTTTGTTTGTTTTCTTACGCAGTTCTTTACATCACCATTTGACAATGAACGAAGGAAGGGTTAGAAAGGCAATACACACATTGTGTTAAGTGCTGGAACCTTTTCTTAGAAATTATTTTTAGGTTTAGTCATATCTGCAGGGTATTGAACTAGAGAGGAATGATATTCACTTGGGAGTATTGGGTTTTGCCATTAAGGGAAAAAACCTTGGACCAATTTCTTTTTATTGCACAAAGTTATGGTTTGGCTTAGCTGCTGACTTCACCGAGGTTTCTCTGCATTGAGATGCTGTGTCGAAGGCCGTGCGTGTACGCTGATGGTTAGCTCACCTCGTGTTACCAGTTTATTTTCCTCCTTCCAACTTTCATAATATGTTGCCTAAAAATATATATAAATAAAAGAAAACTCCACCAGTGAAAAAGCCTACGAATGAGTCTTGCTTTAGTAGGACTACTCATATGCTAAATATTTACAAGACCAAGGCCTTAAGAGAATGTTATGCTTTAGGGTAAAAGCTCACATTGCCATTCTTAGGAGTTGTCTTTACAGATGCTGGGATTCCCCTCTATACAGACTCATTCTGTTTAGGTGACTGTAAGTGCCCATTAGATGCTTTATAATTCTTAAGGGAATGTCCAAGAGGAAACATGGAAATAATGAAATAAGCCATTACTGCTCCTTATTCTAAAGCTTGGGTGTGCCACTGAGGACTCGCTTGCAATTTTAAATAAACAAAAAGGGGAGCTGCTTCTCTTCTTCAGGAAAATGGCTTCAGTTGTGTTACTAAATGACGCAGAGGAAAAAATGAGTAAAACTGGCTCTTTGTATTATGCCATTTAGAAAATAGCACAACCAAAGTTTTGAGCTAGATTTCCTCTAGTTCTGCAGGAAAATAGAGGAAGTCCAAACTTGGAGGCTAGATGTGGCAAAGCCTAGTATAATCAAAGTATTTTTTAGACTCTAGAAATGAGCATCAGAACTTCTTTATGGTTGTTTTCTTCTTTTTTCCTCCCCAAAAAGCAAAAAAGCTCCAGTGTTGAAATTTTCTGATTCCATTGTTCTGGCTAAAATGATTCTGCAAAGTATTTTAAAGGAGAAACATAGCTGCAATATATTATTTGCTACACTGCAGTTTAATAATCATAGAATCATAGAATACCAGCTTGGAAGGGACCTCAGGGATCATCTCGTCCCACCTTTCTTGGCAAAATAATAATCCCTTCTTTTCTACAGTTGATCTTTTGACCAGTGTGTGTACACACATAAAAAAAGGAGAAATCAAATCTTATGGCTTTTTATGCCATAACCAACAATTTTACTCTACTGTAAAATATTTGGTTGAACTGCATCTTGTAAAAACCACCTGTATGGTGAGAGGGGAGATGTTCTGTATTCACTACATCCCAAGGCCAATTTCTACCACTTCAAGTCACTTCTTTAATTTGGACTTTCTTATCGATAATAAAGTGAAAATCTTTATCTGATATCATAAAAACCCATTACCAGGGAAATATTATTGCTACTCCCCAGCTGAAAAATGTGAGATATCTCTGAGTCTGCATATATCAAGCTTTTCTTTGTATATTCTCTAAAAATCATTGTGTAAAAGTGATCTTCTCCCATACGTCTTTTGTTTTCTGTGGTTAATAGTTTCGTATGCATTTAGCAGGGAAGTGCCAAGTGAGAAACACGTTTATGCAATTTGTCATTTCAATTAATGCGTATCTTACAGCTACAGGCCTGGCAAGACGAAGAGGCAGCCGCAGCAATGAGTAGGAGGGCCTTTCAGATCCATTATACACGTTAAGTGGCGAAACATTTCTCCATGCCCCAGTGGGGCATATCAAGAGTCGCCGAAATCCAGAGTTTTCCATCAGCATTAGTATTTGATTGAGCATAAATGATATTCAAGCCTTGTCAGCGAACAAACGGACAAGCCATTTGTTACTTGGAGACCTTTTGCTGACTAAAACCAGCCATAGTCAATCATATTAAGGATCTGGCAGCCTGTAACACCAGCTTTTCATTTTCTAGACAGGTAATTGATGAAGAAAGTTTTAGGAAAGGCTTTGCATGCTATTATAAGAAAAATGCTACATTATAAAAACCATGTCTTCATCAGCACTGTGTCCAGTAGGCGTTCAAAAGGGTTAGAAATAGTTGCTCAGTGCAACTGGTCAAAGCAAAGGAAAGGTTTACGGTAGATAATTTCACATTCTTCTGTTCCCAAAGTAGCCAGAGGAATCTTTTACCTCTTACCATCCCAAAGCATCTGCTCTGTCAGTGTTAGTAGGAGCTGCAATACAGGGACAGTCAGCGCTGCACCCTTTGCTTTTTCTTAGGACAGTGCTTATGACTGAACTTGAACAGACACGGCCACCGAAGACTCACTGACTGGCGAGGATGTGCTTTCACTTTGGGCTGGAATTTTAGGCTCCTAGAAGGCCCAGTTCCCATCTTCAGTAATGCTCCTTCTGCTTTGTTTGGCTGGGAACCTGGACAGAGAATGGGAGTGTGTGTATCTGCGGACAAGAAAGAGGTCTCAGTGAAAGGAGTTCAGGCCTGGACTGGACCTTTATGGCCTCTTACACTTTCTTAAAACAGCAGTAGTTTCCCCAAATTCTCTCTGAACAGCTGTATTTTTCTTTCTTCTTTTTTTTTTTTCCTTTCTCCATTTCTAACAAGTGAGTTAAGTAGTTTGGTTTATTCCCTTAGCTTCTTTGTGTCCCCCAACCCTTGCCTGGTTGCGGTGAGTTAAGAACGGCTACCCAAGAACTATGCAAGCTTGATAAATTCATGAAGAAGATGCCAGCTGCAAACCAAACCTAATAAAGAATTAAAGCAGACTTGGGGTGTATGATTATGTATGTGTAAAAACTCAGATTATTACTGTGTTCCCCAAACTGGAAACAGCCTTTAGGTGACCTGTCTGAACAACGCATGTTCTGCTTAGCCTTGCAGGTTACTTACTCCTGCCTCTGTGAAATCTGACCTCTCCATGCTTGTTGTATTCCTGGGGAGATCCTCAGATCCCAGAGGCTGAGGAAGATCAACTGTGTCACTGGAAGGAAGGAAAAATTAAAATCTGCGTGTGTGCTGGAAATTTGAATGCGTCTGTTACAGAATGAAACATCAGGTTTTCTTTTGACTGGAATTTACTTAACATGTAGCTGAAATAGCAGTAGATGGGTGAGAAAGATGTTTTTACCTAGTGTTTTTATATTGTTTCCCTTCTGTACCAGGGAGGAAGTATTTTGCGATCTCTTTGTATGTAAAGCATAACTTGTGTGTGGATTCCTGTGAGTGCTGACTAGTCTGTGCTATCATTCCTCTGGAAGCCTGATGCAGAGAAAAGGCATCAGACAGCTCAGCTTGGGCCTTGCTCCTCTCTCTGGGGGACCAGAGCACGGCTCACCCATCACAGACAAGTAAGCTGTTAACTGCAACGGGCCAAAATTCCTATATTAGCTCCAAGATCCCACAAACAGAACTTCACTCACTCTTATTTTTCTTCTCCTTTATATCAGTTATTCCTCAGTCTAGTGATTTAGGACAGAAGCAGATTTCAAACTTACGGATTTTCTATGGTTTGGATCATCCTTTGAGGTGAAAGGTGTAATAAGGGACACACTACAATAACGGCTTTAACATCAGAGCATGAGACAGCCTCTTCTGCAAAGGTCCCATTCAAAATGCCTCTATCAGCACAGATATCAGTATTTCTGGGAGTAGGGGACAAGCTGGGCAGCCTCTTCCTCCTCACCCCTCTTCCCTTGGGAGGGTTTGCTGCAGGAGGCTGCTCCCTTCACCAGAGGAACCGACGCACTGCCCTCCCGCAGACCCAGCAGGGGCTGTGCTGAAGTGAAGGGGCTGCCTCCATCTCTCCCAGCTGGGAGTGCTTTGCAGATGCTCTGCACCTGGCAGCACTCAGCTTTTGGGTGCAGCTGAGCCCCAGGTAAGGGCTGTTTCTCCTCTGTGCCCGCTACTTCACTGCTCCTGCTTGCACCCAGCCTTGGGGAACTGTTGCTCTCTGCAGTCCAGCCAGAAGTGAACTGCTGAAATCTGCATGCACGAGATGGAAAGGAAAGGAGAGGAATGATAGAATGAATCAACAAAAATGAAGTAAGATTTTGCAGTTCTCTGGTACTGTGACAGGCAGTTATGGTGCTGAATTTGTGGGTCTGTGTAGTCCCAGGGTAAAGTCTTGTGTATGTGATTAAAATTGGTGTCCTTTGGGGCTGGGTAAGTTTTGTACTTGCCCTCAGACCTTTGCAGGGCAAGGAGTTGCTTTCATCTGGTTTTCAGGATACAGGCAATCTGTTGCATGTTCTTTGTCTCCCTCCTTATTCTTTAGAGCTCATGTGAGAGGCCCTGCCTGTTCTCCCCCATTCATTTTTTTTTTTCTTTCCATTGCTCCCACCCATGCCAGGAGGAAGAGAAAGTTCGAGCCAGGGAAAAGTAAGATTCTGGAGTAAAAATAGATTTTGAGGTTAAATAAAAAGTATCTTCCCACTTTCAGTGTTCTCTGCATCAGAGAGACCTTCATTTTGAAGTGGCTCTTGAAAACCAGGCTTTAATTATATCCAGTTTCAGCAATGTGAAACTGAAGTCGCAAACTTGAGCCTTTTGTCCTCTAGAACACAATTCTTCGTCTTGCATGTTCTCTATAAAATAGCAGTCAATGTGAAGGGCTGTTCCGGAGCCCTTTAGATAAGCTTCACCCTTCCAGGGCTCCTACCTGATGTCCCCATCGCGTGCTGCTGGAAGAGCAGGCTGGTGGCAGTGGGCCAGCTCGGTGTCACTCTTCATCCTGAGGCTGTCTCACGGGCTC